CCCCCCCTCCCCACCGCCCCGAGTGCACAAATTTTTGTGCACCGGGCCTCTAGTTCTATATAATAAAAGGCTAACATGCAAATTGACCGAACAGTGGAACGACCAGTCGCTATAACGTGCACTGACCACCAGGGGGCGGACGCTCAATACAAGAGCTGCCCCCCTGGTGGTCAGTGCGCTCCCACTGCGGGAGTGCTGCTCAGTCAGAAGACAGGCTCATGGCTGGTGAGCGCAGCGGTGGTGACGGGAGCCTCTCCTGCCTCCATGGCAGTGTTAAGGATGTCCGACTGACGGCTTAGGCCCACTCCCCACAAGAACGGGCCTAAGCCATCAGTTGGACATCCCCCGAGGGCTCCCGGACTGTGAGAGGGCTAAGGTCAGGCTGAGGAACCCACTCCTCCTGAGAGCTCGAATTTCATGCACCAGGCCTCTAGTACTATAATAATAATAACAGCAATAATATCCAACATTGATTACATGTTTACTATTGTAAATTCACTATTCTAAAGGCTTTAGACATATTTTGTCTAATTCCAAACAACACCATTAGAACATTAGTATTAGTATCTGCATTTTACAGATGAGGAAAATGAGGCACTGGTGAGGCAGGATAGTGAGAAGTTAGGAAAATCCTGGGCAAGAGAATGGGGAAACTGAGACAAGAAAATTAAACAAGGCCAAACAATTTGAACTTTTTACAGCCACGTGGTGAATCGAAAGACCTATCTCCCCTAACCAAGGACACTCTGTCGCCAGAGAATACATAGCTTAAATCATGCTGGTCAGGGAGATAGAGAACTGAGACCCTAATAATGCCGTTTGTGCCAGCTAACCCAAGGACAGATGAAGTCTGAGGAACACATAACAACAAAAAACACACACAAAACCATTAGAGCCAAAAAGACCCAAGATAAAGTAAAACAATAAAGCAGGCCAAATAATGAATCAGCATATTAAAAATTGCACCTGGAAAGCTGATGAATATTCTGCTGAAACCTCCCATAAAATTCTCACCTCCAGAGAGATAAACCCCCCAAAACAAAAGATATCAGCCAGGTCTTGCTCTAGAGCACGCCCATGCCCCTTTCTGGGCATGAACTTTAATTTCTTCCTAAACTCTAAAGCGGAGGAACAACTAGAGGAGCAGTGGACAATGGCAGCTCGACCAGGGCTCACCCCCTGATCCTGTCTCCAAGACCCCTTTTTTCTCTGACTTCCCACTTCTGTCACTGTGACCTTCACTTCCCTGTGAGCTCACAGCAGCCCCATCTTGGCTCAATTATTTCCTATCACATTTCTAGGGAGCCAAAGCAGAGCCCCTCCCAGGCTCTCTCCCGTTGCTTCTTCTACCCTAATTTCTTCTTTGTTTCACTGTCCCCAGCATTAATAAACATGCTCTCAAACCCACCTGGACGCGTGTTGTGAAGTCTTTCCTACAGGAAGCTGAGAACCCACACACTACTTATATGCTGGCTCTGTTGCTGACCTCATTCCGAAAAAGCAAATGCCTATCTCCTCCGGCATCACATCCCCACAGCTGCCCAACCCCATCCTCTTGGCCCCATCTTTCATTATCTATGGCCAATGTGTCACAGACCCTCTTAAGTTTTATTTTCAATTTTTTGTTTCTACCTTTCTATTCTCTATGATAATAATCTTCCTAAAGTACCAGTGTTCCTAAAAGGCAATACTCAGAACTCCCCCTGGCCTTCCCAAGCTAGTCAGAAGTAAAGTGTTAATTCCCACCCACTCCACTCTCTCATTGACCCTGGGTATTGGCCTTTGTTCATGCCCTTCTCCCAGTCAAAACTGCCTTTCTCCTTCACTCTGAGTCTCCAAATATTATTGATAGCTTTCTTATGGAGTGCTCCAGCCCACGTGACCATAGCATTTCTCTGGTATCTATAAGATTCAATATCTATTGTTTGCTTTGATAATGATGTACTTTCTTTCTTGTATTTTGTCTTAACTATTTTATATTATATTCTATGTGACAGGTCTATGAAAGATGCTGAAGGACAATAGCATCCTCTTAAATGAATGGATGAATTTATCAAATAGTACTAACTCTGGGGTGAAGACATGTAGTCTAGCCCATGAATTCTGAAGGCATTTGTGTATTTAGAAGATTAAAGACCAATTCTAGATCTTTTCTTTTTTTTTTCCTTTAGCTTTTCCCCCACAAAGTTGTACTATGAAATGGGCCTTTTGCTTTTCTGCTTTCAACCAAATGCCAGCTCACTGCAAATAAATTGCCCACTCAATGAAATAACATGGTGACTATGGTGCCAGAAGCTGGAATTGGAATATAGAGTTTGACAAAGGAGTTTGTGCTTTTGCAACAGCAAGAGATTCTGGATAGGTGGTTTGGTGATTTCAAAAAATGCAATTTAAGAAATATTTCAATGATTTGGAATACTGAGCTGGGATACTTAAAATTAGGACTTCCCTGAAAAATCTAGAATGGTGGTGCCACCACACTCATCAATGACTCACCCTGAGTTGCATTATGGAGGTTACAACAGCAGAAGGCACAGAATGTCCCGGCTATTGAGGAGTTTACAGTATTATTGGGAAGATTGGACTTTCAAAAAGAAAATAATTATAGGGATTTTAAAAACAACGCTAAAGAAAATGAAATCCTACAAGAACTTTCACCAATAGAACAAGCCAATACTTTGCATATAGTATCTCAGATCCTCACCAACCATTTGAAAAGTGGACTATCATTTCCATTTTCAAGTTGAGGGAATAAAGTTCAGAGAAGCTGAGTGACATGCTCATGGTTACACAGTTGATAATCTGTGGGTGAGGGATTTGAGTTTGGGTCTGTCACACTCTACAACTTGTGCTCTTTCCATTCTCATGTTGAGCATCCTTTCTTATCCTGTACCGCAGCAGATCTTGAAAAGTGATAGTAAAATTATTATTGTTCCCAATTTAAAATACATGGTGGGGCAAAAGTAAGTTTGCAGTTGTTCATGTGGAAAATAATACAATAATTAATAAATAAAATGCAAAAATAAACTGTCTCACATACTCACAACTGTAAACCTACTTTTACTCCACCCTGTATGTGTGCAAAGAACCAAGATTGGTGGGATTATGGGGTTTTCTCCTTTTTAAAAATTGTCTTTAAGAAATGTTATAGTATTTTACACGTAAAAGAAATAAATGAGACCTAAAGATAGACTTTGTTACATTTGAATTACCCACTGCTTTGTTATCTTTCGTGTAATTAAATTGTTTATTTTCTCTTAAAGGCAATTATATGGAATGAGCAAGATGAATAAAAATAAACTGATTCATGATTTGCTGGAAGTAGTTTCAAGAGGTGATGTGGAACTCATCTGTGACCATATTACTAAAGTCCATTCCATTCTTGGAAACCTTGACTTTCAGCATCCAAAGACTGGGAATACACCTCTCATTACTGCAGCAGAAGAAAATCTAACAGAGGTAACATGTGGTGTCCGGGGCCCATGGATACTCTTCTAACTAAGGATTCCAAGATGAGATGTTTGGGAATAGCATTACCCAACTCCATGAAAGAATGTCTGAAGGCAGAAAGCAGGGGGTGGGGGATGGAGGGGCGGGGGAGGAAGAGTGAGGGCAACTGGAAGGAGAACTGGGAGAACCTAAATAATCTAGACAGTCGCCATCTTCATTTATTCCCCTACTCAGTCAACAGAATACTAGACTTCATGTTGGATACCAAGTTGAATCAAATGCAGATGTCACCTTTGAGGAGCTTATGGTCTAGTGCAGTGGTCGGCAAACTCATTAGTCAACAGAGCCAAATATCAACAGTACAACGATTGAAATTTCTTTTGAGAGCCAAATTTTTTAAACTTAAACTATATAGGTAGGTACATTGTTATTAACTTAATTAGGGCACTCCTAAGGCTTAGGAAGAACCACACTCAAGGGGCCAAAGAGCCGCATGTGGCTCGCAAGCCGCAGTTTGCCAACCACGGGTCTAGTGGGACCACATAATGGGGCCTGAGTTTTTTCCTCCTTTCCACTCCCCACCCTCAACTTCATCAGACCTAGAAAAGTGTACCCTATTCTACCAAATGCATATAATCATGAAAGTAGGGAGTAAGGAGTAAATAAATAACAGTAAGATGGACAAGGACACAAGATTGTCCTCTTTGTTCTAGTTATATATCCATCTAGAGTGCCTCACACATCTAGGTGCTTAATAAATATCTATTAAATGGATAAACTAATGATTAAGTAACCCATTTGGATATTATTGTTCATTTATACCATTGTGTGTGGGAACTTATACGATTCTTTTTAAGAATGCAGGTGAGGGTGAGGGCATGTGCTGGGGGGTGGGGGAGGCTGGGGAGAGGTCAAGGGGGGGAAAAGGAGACTTATGTAATACTTTAAACAATAAAGAATTTAAAATGAAAAAAAAAAAGAATGCAGGTGAGCCCTGGCAGGGTGGCTTAGTTGGTTAAAGGGTTATCCCATACACCAAAAGGTTGAGGGTTCAATCCCAGCTAGGGCACATACCTAGGTCTTTTATTCGATCCCTGATTGAGAGGCAACCAATTGATGTTCTCTCTCTCTCTCTCTCTCTCTCTCTCTCTCTCTCCCTCTCCAAAATCAATAAAAACATATCCTCAGATAAGGATTAAAAGAATGCTGGTGAAAGTGAGAACAATATGAGCACTTGGAATTGGAGATGGTCAACAAGAAGGGAATAGAATATAAGGGGAATAGAAAAGGGCTTAGAATGGAAAAACTACAGTGAAAAAGACAAATTTCACTCAGCTGCATAGGTCAGTACCTCTGCAAGTTCTTGGGAATCTAAATGCAAGTGGTCCTTAACCCTGCTGGCCACTTCAATTAGCCTCTCTCTTGACTAATTCTTAGCTTTTTCCCCCCTCTTTTGATTCTTTTCTAGTAACACCTTTTAAACAAATTCTAAAATGTTATGTATGCTTTTTAAAAAGAAGCATGTGTGCACAACTTAAAGAAAAATGAGACTAGTGTCCATATACCCATCAGCCAAGCCAAAAATCAGAACATAAGCATGCATCAAAAGCCCTCTATCTGCTCCTCCTTAATTGCATCCCCCATACTTTATAATCATTATCTTGAATTTTGGGTTAATCATTTCCTTAGTTTTGCTACTTTTCCACATATTCCTAAATAATTCATTGTTTATTTTTCCTGTTTTTGAACTTTATAAGAACAAATTTGCACTGCATGTGAGTCTCTGTAACTTACTTCTGTTCATTATTATGTTTTTGAGATTCACCCACTTCAACACATGTAGCTGTGGTTTCTCATTTTTACTGCTATTTAATATTCCATTTATGCTACAACTTGTCTATCTTACTTTGATGGACAGGTGGGCAGTTTCCATATTTCTATTATTGCAAACAGGATGCTGTTTTCCATTAGCATATAATATATGGAGATATCACCCTTCTGATGACACATACATTAACAAGCACCTTCACTGAGCCCACATCCTCCTCCGACCACTTTCACTCCTCTGTTGGGCCTCTTCAGGTTAGCCTGATGCAATTTATTGGATTCTTGGCAGAAGAAACAACACAGGGTGAGAAACAATAGCATTTGCCAGAGTATTATCAGTTTTATGTCAGTTCCCCAATTCCCACAGGATGATAGGAAGGGGACCAGGAGACCTCTGCTCAAACAGTGGATTGGATTGCAGGAGAGGAACCCTAAATTTATGGAAGCCATATCTTTTATGATGGGCATTCAGCAAACCTACTCTTTGCTCCAGAGGGAGATACTATCTCTAGCCAAGGCTATTCACTATACAAACACTACACGAATAAGCTTGAAAAGAGAGTCTGGGGGAAAGGCAGTAAGTGCTTCTATTCATTAGACTTGTAGGAATGTAAGAGACTCAGGGAAACTTCTCTCCTAAAGATATCTACCTTCCATTTCTACATTGTCTTGGTTTCTGGTGAATTTTCCATGAGCACACCACTCTGCTGGTCACTCTGACTAATCTTTCCAACAGAGGCTGGGCCCAAATCCAGCAATTTGTCTCAGACAACATCTAAGTAAAACTACTATATAGGACTCCAAGCAGCAGAATGAGGCCATACTGTAGGCTAGCCTCAACCATGCTATTCAGGGTCCTGGATTCCTCCAGCTGAACAAATCCCATAAACCATTGGGATCTGCCATAGAAAACCAGGTGGCTTTCTTCTTAAGTTTCTCTATTGATTGTCCCATTCAGTCTAAGGCATCAGTCCAGATACAGTAGCATGTATTAGCCATGACTTCACCTTGGCCCGCAAGCAGGAAGTCTAGGGCAATTCTATCATCTGTAACAACCCCTGGCCAGTGACTTGACTGCTGATCTGAAAGTCTTTCAGGGATGAGGTAGTGTTATTGGTAACTTCTATTTAGGGACAAATTGTCCTACTTTGTCTAATTGTATGACTTCTATCTTAGGAATACTTATCCACAGGGGGCACAAATGACAAGTCAACTATCCCTCTGGAAGCTCCCCCAAATTACCCATAGTAGCTTCATTTTGGGGAGAGCTCCGAAGTCATCTGAGGCTACATCATCTACTGATAGTCTTCCCTTAAAGATCTGAGGCTCTCTTATGACCACCCCTAAAGCATAAGTCATCATGTTTTCAGGAGGGATACAAGTTAATGTCAGGTTTTCACACAATAAGTATCTTTCCTTGGGAGGGGGAGGTGGTGTTTACCATTGTTCCCCCCCCCCCGCCCCCACAAGTGGGAACTACATTAGTCAGGGGGCACAGGTTGATAGTGCCTCCATGTGGCCTCTCAGCTGGCTGGTAAGCCTGAAGATTCCCAATTCAGTCTGAATGATTGAGCCTGGTCCTTGATTTGGAAGGATTATCAGTACTGTTTGTCCATGCCAGTAGCCTAGTAGCGTTCATTTGCCCCACAGAATGAGTGACTGGTGGCTACAGGAATGGGAGTGAAGTGTTGATAAGTGTTTTACATGGAAGGTGCAAGCTCTGGGGCTGTTGGCCACTGTTGTTATTATACTTCTTGGTGAGGCTAAGGTAATTGGCAATTAAAATTGAACTACCTGGCTGATCCAGCAGTCAGTTAAATATAAGGTGCTTGTTACAGTTTTGGAGAGCCGGGATATTTTCTTTCACGGGGGTGTTTTGATAAGAGCCACTAGCAAGCTGATATCCACTTTTCAAAAGTGATGTACCTTTTGGACATGTCAGGGAGGCTCCCAAAGGACACCTGTGGGTGAAAACTTCCTCCCTTTGCCAAAGGCTCCCCAATTGGCAAAACTATCAGTTACAGAGAGACTCAAAAGGATCAGGGAATCCAAAGATATTCGTACTTCTCTACATAGTAACTCATCATAGTTAAAAGAATCCTCCCTGACACCTAATGGGATTGGGAAGTTATACACTTATAATACATTAATTCCTATTACAGATTCAGATATAGAAGCTGCAGCCATAGTACATTGAATTGACCAAAGGGCACCACCCACAAAGCCACGTTAGATTTCCTTCCCCACTGCAAATCATGCCCAAACCCCATTAGCTGAATTCATACACTCACTTGCCCCAAGGATCTGGGCAGCAGCAATGTGGCTTCAAGGGAGCCATAAAGGTTTGAGTCTCTCCCTTCCCCAAAGTTCACCAACATACTCCCATGAGTGGCCATGATCTTCACTCCCTTTGAAGAGAGGGTTCCATGATCACACTTCTAATGCTCTTTTTCCTTAAAGCAGATGAGGTTGAGGTACAGGAGGTTGTGGAGGGTTTAGGAACGTGGAGAAAGAGTGGTTACAGGCCAATAGGCAAGGTACATTTACTTTTGGTTTCCAGAAACATGGAGGCTTCTTGTTGCTCAACTAAATGAACTCCTGATGTTTTCAGCCCACCTGAAGCCCTATGTCAGGTGGAAAAGTAATTATTACTGACGCCATCTATTTCAGCTCCAGGCAAGGGCTCATTGGCGACGGCCCCAGTGCTCTCTGACTGGAGCTTCAGCGTTTGAAGCCTTTGGTTGACTCAGGCTTAACTTTCACAGCAGACCTTTTTAAAAAAAATTTAAGGATTCTACATTAATATAAATAATTTGCTGACTCATTTTCATGATAATATCTCTTAAAATTTCACCTGATTTTGACATAAGGTCTAGGGGAATGTTCCGGGGCAGTGGGACTAATCATAAGAATTTGTCTAGATTTCTTTGTGTCCATTTCTTTCTCCAGTGAGTCACCTTCATCAGTATTGTAACCCAATCTAGGCCAGTGAGAACCTGAACACTAGTTAATGCCTCAGCTGTAGTTTATCATGGGAATTTTTCTGTCTCAGGGAAATCCCCAAGAGAGCCATTGCTCCCTTAAAGTAGCTAAACCCACTGGAAAAAAAAATCCGAGGCTTTACCTTCATCATTAAATGGATCTAAGGTTGTCAGCAGGAAGAGCCAAGCTGCAAGATAGCTATTATCATTCCTCCGGAACAAGCATCACGCATCTTACCACCCGTAGTCCAAGTGAACCAGCCAAAGTTTAGCCTGTGTTTCTTTTGTTTGTTTGTTTGTTTTTACCATTTTAATTATGAGTTTTCCTACTTCCATCCTCAGTGAAGATATGCATCTCTGTAACTGTTGTTTGAAAGGGAGTAGAATTTTCCGTCTGCCCAGAACAAATCTTGGCTTTATCTGCTACAATGGCATGAACCTGAGGCTGACTGGCAAATTGGTGAGGAAGATAAAGAAGAATTATCAAAAACCTGGAAATAGCTGTTTTGAACTTATTTCCTGATACACAGCCTGTAACTACCTTCCTGTTTAGTTCCTTAAACAGTCATGTATTATCAATAAAGTGGAGGATCCTTTATTGTCCAATTTACCATACAAATTAGTTAACATATTTGCTACGATTTCCCATGAACTTCCCTCATTCTTCCTCTGTCATGCCTTTCTCTCTCATCATCTCACTTTTGCAAAAGTTATCAACTGTGAGGGAGAGGGAGAGGGAGAGGGAGAGGAAGAGACAAGCAAAGAGATAGAGATGATGTCTCTTCTCACAAGGACACTAATCCTATCAGATCAGGGTCCCATTCTTATAACCTTTTTAACTTTAATTACTTCTTAGAGGCCCTCTCTCCAAATACAATCACATTGCAGGTTAGGGCTTCAACATATGGATTTTTAGGAGACAATTCTGTCCATAGCGTTCACAATACTTTGTTCATACTATATCCTTTGCTTGGAACAATCTTTCCCAGCAGTCTTTGCCTAGTTAACTGAGTCTGATTCCACAATTCTCAACTTAGACATCACTTTCTCCAGAAGGTCTTCCCAGCCCCTCTAAGACAGCTGATTAGGTTTCTTCTAGGTGCCCCCTCAGCTTTCTGTACTTATTCTATCGTTGCATATATCACACTGTGTTGCAATTGCCTTTTTATCTGTCTCTTTTCCTCACTAAATTGTAAATGCCTTAAAGTCTGGTCGTCTGTCTTGTTCATTGTTGCAGTCTCAGCACCAAGAACAGTTCTTGACACATGCACTAGTCACTCAGACCATATTTGTTGAATAAATTAAGCCTCCATCATTTTAAACAGAGTTCATTCTTTCCCTAGAAATACTTGTAACATTCAATAACTTATAAGCCTGAGTTTTGGGGTTTGATATTCTAAACTACAGATGATACTAATAGGACTTGAATGTGTTATGTGGATTTAACATGAAATACTTACAGACCTCCAGTTTGAAAAAACTATAGTATCCTCAAACCATCCACATCATGGAGATTCTTTTAAAAAGGCAAATAGCAATCACCAGCTTCCAAATCAATTCTTCATTCTTATGCCCCTTTTAATCTCCTTTCCTATATCATGAATAGAAGCCATATCTAAGTAAGTTTTCCACTCAGCCCTGAAAACACCATTGGCATTGAAAAATGCGAAATAAGAATGTTGTGGTATTGCAGGTTGTTGAGTTTCTTCTGGAAAAGGGAGCAGATATCACCCTTTGCAATTACGACAATCGAACCGCGGTCCATGTGGCTAATTGTGATGTCCAAAGACAGCTCTTGGCCACCAATGGAATCCAGGCTTCCCAAATGCAACTTCTACGAAGTTCATGGCAAGGTGATCTTGAACAACTTCAGCAACTGTTGGTCAGTCAAATCAATGTTAAATTCTACCTTTGGGTATGTAGGCCGGTGGGTGGTAAGAAGGGCACAGACTACTTATGACTCCTTTTAAAGAAAAATAACTTCTTTTCAAACGGAGTCCCAGGAAATTTCAGGCAGGAAATATGAGAAAGAAAGAGAATCAAACAGGACACTGGGGTGAAAAACAAGATAATAAAAGAACAAAGCAGCAGCCTTTTTCCCTTCCTGCAGCTGGAAGCTACAAGTCAGCCGCGCCCCCGGGAAATGATGCGCTCCCAGGGTGCCCCTGGAGAGCCACTGTCAACTTGCTCAGAAGCGTTCCCTTGACATCAGTGCCATTTGTACAGCTGCTGTTTAGATCCCTCTGGACTAGTTGCAGTTATTAACTTTACCTTGAAAAGGGAACCAGAGAGCCTATGCTTTGCATAATACTTAGCTGTGACTAAAGGAGTTAAGAGGATACATTTTAAGTGCTTTCTTCTTAGGGTGTTGATCTTGTTTAGATTTTCTACCCATTGATATTCTTTCCCAATGAAACTTCAAAACCATATGCATAACGGAGGACACTAATTATTGGTGGCCACTGCTTACTCTTGGCATTTCCCCTCAGAGATACTGTCAGATCACATGACCTTCTCCCTGAAAGAAAATCAATGGCTGCTAGGAAACAGTTTCTTCCATTCCCTCATGGTAGAGACACAAATAGATAAAGGAAAAGTGAACAATATTATAGTCACCTAGAGTTCAAGAAAATATACAACAAAATCCAAAGGGCTCTACATTTTTTGTTGTATTAAATGACCATCTAAAATTGCCATATGTCATGAATTCTGGCTTAGAATTTTTTTGAAAGACAGTAAATTTTATTTTATTGGTATTTACAACATACCAATAGTTGTAATCCAATGTCTGTTTTCTTGACCACATTTTTCACCCCTAAAGATTGGCAGCCGAGTTTTAAGAAATTAGTGTCTATAACTGGACCCAGAGTCTAATCCACAGATGCTGAATTAATGTGTGTTGTAAGACTACAAAATTAATGTGCTGTTGTAAGCTTCAAAATGTTCATATTGGTTCTAACTAATAATAAACATTGATATAAGAGGTGGTTTCTTTTCAGAGACTGAAAAGGAAAAAAAGTTAACTAATTAATTCCCAGAACACCACTCTGAGGTAATATCATTATCTCTAGTTTGTCCCTAGAGAAACTGAGGTAGAGACACTGACTATATTCATATGGTATAAAGTGAAATGGAGGTGAAAATTAGTAAGTTACTTTGGTCTATGAAATAAACAATTTTGATAATTTGGCCTTGCAGTAGCTTTTCAGTTTTGAGTTATCCAAATTAAAATTTTAATTAATTTAAAACATTAAAACAACAAATAACTTCTATATATCCACCATTTGATTATATAAGTGCAGTTAAATGAGTGGCCTTACTATTGTAACTCAGTCATCATTCCACAAACATTTACTGAGCATGTGTGTGACGCTCTCCAATCACCAAAACAACCCTGCAGGGAACACACTGTTATTCCTGCGTTATAGCTGAGGGCTGTGAAGGTCAGTGAGGAGGGTTGCCAGGTTTTGCAAATAAAAATATAGGACACTCAGTTAAATTTGAATTTTAGATAAATATCACCTTTTTTTTGGTAAAATTACATCCCAGATGAAAATTATTCATTGTGTAACTGGTGGTATCCCTTATTTTATCAGGGTGGTTTAATCACCGTTTAACAGAGTGTCCTTGATATAACCCTATCAGGGAGGTTAAATAACCAACTTAAAAAGCTTAAGTTCACCCCCCAGGTCTGTCTGCCTCTCAGGCCTGTGTTCTTTCAATTCATCAGCTCCCTCCCAATACACATATTGAGAAAAAAGGTATTAAAGTCAAAATAAGAATTTAGCCAAGCAATGAAAATGCAAAGATTAGTATAAATAGACATTCAGAAAAACATTCCGTAAATAAAGCTTCACGTTTTTAAAGGCATCGGAAGAGTTCCTGGACGTAAATTTCCCAAACCAGCATGGCCTGACCCCTCTGATGCTGGCTGTGAGAGACGTGGACCTGTTTGAGAGTCTTGAGATGTCAACAGCCTACAGACCCGCGGAGGTTCTGGCTGAGCTCCTCAGGCACCGCGCGTGAGTATGAGTGGTCAGTCAGCGCCAGTGCAAGGGCATATATGTCATTCTTATTTACAGGAGTCATTTCGATGTTTAAATTATGTATACTAAATGCACATGCGTGTTCACAAAAGGGAGTTCAGAGTTGCAAAGTGATGCACAGATGCTAGATGTCGCTATCTATTATTCTTATTACATTGGTCCTTTGTTTTGTTTATTAAATATATATATTTTTTGGCTACCTTCAGGATACCCAACTAACAGGTCATTAGGGCATCCTGAGGAGGTACATTGTGATGCTTTTATAAGGAAGCTTTTAAAGCATAGGACACATTTTTTTGAACACCCACAGCTAGTTAGAATAATTAATTTAACTGACCAAAATAGCAAAACAAAAGTTTTTTGGCACCAACTGGGATTACAGAATTTGAAAGGAAAAATACAACAACATGCAATTTAGACAGCTGAATGTATTATACTTTGCTATTTGTTAAATTCTGGTTTAAAATACTTACTCTTTTGGTAGTTACTGGGAATGTCAGATAATTCTGTAGTATGTAGCTCCCTACCCTCAAGATGTTACTAATTATTTTAGAAAGTATTGTCCATTGTCTAAAGCAGTGGTTCTCAACCTTCCTAATGCCACGACCCTTTAATACAGTTCCTCATGTTGTGGTGACCCCCAACCATAAAATTATTTTTGTTGCTACTTCATAACTGTAATTTTGCTACTGTTATGAATCATAATGTAGATACCTGATATGCAGGATGTTTTTCATTGTTACAAATTGAACATAATTAAAGCATAGTGATTAATCACAAAAACAATATGTAATTATATATGTGTTTTCCGATGGTCTTAGGCGACCCCTGTGAAAGGGTCATTCGACCCCCAAAGGGGTCGAGACCCACAGGTTGAGAACCGCTGCTCTAAAGCAATTTATAGTAGTGATTTCCAGTTACCTAGAAATTACTACATGCCAGCATGTTCTTTTAGGAGGGGGCAAAGAATAAAAGTCAGAGGTTAACAAACAGTGTCTCATGTTAGAATTGGTTTCCTAATGCTGTTTGTTACCTAGACATCTTGTCATCAAATAAGAACAGATGGCCCAAGTTTTTTCATGTGGATTTTGTTATGGAAAAAATAAAGGAAAAAGGGCCTTCAAAAAGAAAAGTATACTTTAGAATGTGAGCTATTTTAAAAGTATTAGTTAGTATTAGAGGTTGAAGATGGAAGTTTGACACTATCTCAGAATTTAGTGTTGAGAAACATCTGAGGAGATTGTTAACAATGGAGGTTACTAGATACCACCCCAGAGAGGGTGTTCAATAGTCCTGAAGTGGGTCCAGAATACAGGAGATCAAAGGAGAAACACTATCAAGACAGATGAATAAACTGAGGTCCCTAGAAGTTAAGTGACTTGCTTAAGGCCATTTATTGAGGTAGTGACAGTGTCCTGACCCTTGATCTTATGCTATTTCTTTTGAATCATGACCTTGGTGGAGAAAAGGCCATAACAGAATATTGTGGATCATAAGACATTACCCAGTCCCATAACAATAGATTCAAATTCAAAGGTGTTAGACCAGAGACCATGATCAACTCTCTCCTTGTCCCAGAACATGACTAATGAAGTTTTATCATTGTTTCCCTCACTATGACCTGTTGATAGGATTCTCATCATTTGCCCTCTGAATCTCTCTGAGCTGATGTTAGGACTCAGTACAGCATAGAGAGGATATTAGTGCTGTTGCAAGAAGCCCTAAGATCAGCCAATTGGGCTTAAAAACCACAGAGCAAAGCAAAGAAAAATGAAAAGACCATGCAGAGAGAGATTTTATGACAAGATCATCCACTCAACCAAGAGCATATCAGCTTAATTTTAAAGAGAGATTATGTCATTCTACTATTTTGAATGATAAAAGGATTAGGTGTTAGCATTAGAAAAAAGATATCAAGAAGGTAACCAGTTAGCTAAAACATTGGGAAGAAAAAGAATCAAGTCAACTATTTGGAATGTTAAGACAATGGTTTATCAATATGTTTTTATCTTTACTGAATTTATGTATCACTAACGAATTATGAAAGTTTATGTTCAAAAATTTTCTGCAAATATCATAATCCTATATAATAAAAGGCCAGCGACTATAACGGTGTAATGACCAGAACAACCTCGACCAGTCACTATGAGGTGCATTGACCACCTCTTGGCCCCTCACCCCAGCCCGCAGGCTCCAATATCTGGATGGCCAACAGGGAGCCATGGGGAACTGGGGTGGGTGGCGGCGGCAGGGCAGGACTAGGGACTGGCGAGCGGGCGTGGAACAGCCAACCTCTTGGTCCCTCCCCCAGCCCACAGGCTCTGATAGATCGCCAGATGGCGAACAGGGAACAGGGGTGGGTGTTGGCAGCAGGGCAGGACTGGAACTGGTGAATGGGCGGAAGATGGCCCTGATCACAGGCTAGGCCTAGGGACCGTACCTGGGCACGATTTCGTGCACTGGGCCTCTAGTGTTTTATAAAAAATTGTCACTATCTCATACATTTTGAAGTAATTATTGTTATCCCCAAACTATGTAGGATTGCTTTCATTTATTTGATGTCAATATTTTTCCTTCCATATTCATTTTCTTTTTTGAACAGATTTAACTAATAACCTTTGATGCTGATTCTATTTCTCCTAGAGATCCTAAGCTCTGTGATTTTAGTGGAAAATCAGCAATACATTATGTGTCACAAATAAAGAGTTTTAAGAAACAGCAGTTATTGGACATTCTAATGAATTCTATGCCAAAACCAGGTAAATATTCCTATTTCACTTTCAAATTTCCCCAAATATAAGGGCCCTACTAGACATCTTTCTTTTTCTACATGTATTTGATGGATCCATTTTAAGAAATCTATCTGACAACTATTTATTGAGCAGTGACCGAAAGCCCATGATTGGGTTCTCTGAGGGATACAAAGAAGTCTAAGATATGGTGCAAACTTTTGAAAGTGCTCAGTATGGTCAGGGCCATATCACATAAGTCAGAGGAGAATGAACTTATTGGGAACAGGAAGGGGAAGGGACTTATGGTAGTTCTTAAATGCTGGATGAGATATGGTAGGAAGGAAAAAAGAGAAGGTTAGATATAGATGGGGAAAGATAGTCTGAGTAAAGACATGGTGACAGCCACAGCAAAAGGCATAATGGAAAAAAATGCTACTGAGTGACACATGATTTTGTGTAACCTGCTTGACTTTATTGTTTAACTAGAGGCCCGGTGCACAAAAATCTGTGCACTGGGGGGGGAGGGGGGGTCCCTCAGACCGGCCTCTGCCCTCTCGCAGTCTGGGACCCCTCGGGAGATAACGACCTGCTGGCTTAGGCCTGCTCCCGGGTGGCAGAGGGCAGGCCCAATCCCTAGGTGCAGCCCCTGGTCGGGCTCAGAGCAGAGCCGATTGGGGAGTTGGGGCGCTGCCCCCTGTCATGCACAGAGCAGGGCGGATCGGGAGGTTG